GAGTTCGGCGGCAAGACCGAGTTGGGCAGCGCACCTGTTGATGGCGGAGCAAGAGCGGTCACCCCAATTCCTGCAGGCACAGCAGCGGCATACATACGAGTGAAGGAGTTCTACCTTCAGCGTGGATTGTGTAACCGGATGGCACTCTCTGAGGAGCTCTCTTCATTGAAGATGAAAGAGGGGGAGGGGGTAGCTGCATACTGGGCGCGTGCCGAGGACTTGAGGTCCAAGTACTTGGCAGCAGGAGGAAAGGAGGAGGTTGAGGAGTGGATGATGAGGATACTCAAAGGACTACCTCCTCACTTTGAGATGCTGAAGGTGGTGTTGAACAACCAGTCATCATCGCTCACTAAGGATCAGCTGCTTACCTCCTTGAGGAGCGAGGAGATGCGGATTGGTGTCGCACCAAGATCGGATGGTGTAGCCACATTTGGAGCGGGTACGAAAGTGGGCAGCAGCGGCAGGGGAAATTGGGTCAAGGGAGGAAAGCATGGAGACAGCGGTAGCAGCAGTGACACCAACTCGGGCAGATGGGGTCAAGGGAAAGGCAAAGCGGGAGTGCTTGATTTCCCTTGGGGGTCCAAGGGCATGGCTCCTCGGGGGTTGTGTCATGGCTGTTGGGATGAGGGACATGCATGGCAGCGATGTCCTCATCGACCTAAGGGAGGCATTCCGGCATTCTTACAGCGGGGGGGTCGTGGGTCCAACGGCAAGGCACAGGTGGCGGATGAGGAGGAGCAGGATGACAAGGCAGAGGCAGTGGTTGGAGAAGCAGTTGCAGCAGTGGGAGAGGAGCAGCCGCGAGAGGGGTGGTGGATTGACAGTGGGGCCAGCCACAACTTTACTCCTTATGCATCGGACTTCAAAAGTAAGCTTCAACCACCAGAGGTTCGGGGAGTTAGATTGGGAGATGGACGGGTGGTGAAAGCTGTTGGCATGGGTGAGGTGCCAGTGGTTGGTGCTGGAGGTCAGCTGCTGAGGATTCAAAAGGTCCACCTTGTGCCTGAGATGCACACGCGTCTGCTGTCAGTCCCACACCTCACCTCTCGAGATGTCATTGTCACATTCAAAGGCAAGAGATGTGTCCTTCAACGGGGGGAGCGGGTGTTGGCGATTGGAGAAAAGGAGAGGGGAAGGGACCATGGATTGGTGCGGATGTTTCTTCCTCTTACTCAGGGCACACAGGGCAGTGCTCTTGCAGCTAAGTCGTCCTCCTCATTTTCCCCATTGACCCTTGCCCATCGCCGCCTTGGTCATACCGCCCCCACAACATTGCAACAGATGGCTCGAGGGAACAGTGTACTGGGCTTGGAGATTGGGGGGGGGAACACTGATTGTTCCCCATGTGAGCCCTGCTTATTGGGAAAGTCGGCTCGGAAGCCATTTCCCCATGAGGCGTCTCGGGCACTTGGGCCTTTGGATGAGGTCCACATGGATTTGTGGGGGCCGGTGCGCACACCATCACTGGGAGGAGCGGTGTATATCCTCAGTCTCATTGACGACTTCACCAGACGAGTTTGGTCGTTCCCCCTCCCCAACAAGGAATCGGCCATAGTTGCAAAAGTCCTTCGCCAGTGGCATAAGGACGTGGAGTTGGAGTGTGGGCGGAAGCTGAAGGCTGTTCGCTCGGACAGGGGTGGCGAGTTCTTGGGGGAAGCTGTAAAAGCATGGAAGGCGGAGTTTGGCATTAAAACTCAATTGAGCGTCGCAGATACACCGCAACAGAATGGGGTTGTGGAGAGGTGGCACAGGACGATGGCAGAGGGGATTCGCACATTGTTGGTCGACAGTGGTCTCCCTGCTCGCTTGTGGGGTGAAGCATTGATGTGGGTCGTGTGGGTTAAGAACAGGGTCACCCACAGTGCTTTGCCTGCCTCCATCACACCAATGGAGGCGTGGTCCGGCCAGAAGCCGCATGTGGGCATGGCTCGGATTTGGGGTTGCATGGGGAGTGTCATGTTGCATGGGCATGAGAAGGGTGGCAAGCTTGATGCACGGGCTGTCATGTGTGTCTGCGTTGGGGTGGACATGGAGAGCAAGGGTTGGCGCATGCTGGACCCTTCTATCATGCGCATTCGCATTGCTCGGGATGTTGATTTCCTTGAGAATGTGATGTGGAAGGATTGGGACAAGGCAAAGGAATTTGGGGAGCTTCTGCAGGATGCAGCTGCAATTTCCCAACTCCTCCCTCTTCCACTCTCGCCACCTTCAGCAACGGCTGACGACGTTGAGATGCCACTTTCACCACTGCCACCGGCACCGCTGAGTGTGTCGGTGCAGCAGCAGCCCACCCCTCTGCAGCAGCTCAGTGGCCCCTCGGTCATTCAGCGGAGATCCGCTACACAGGCTACTTCCTCTTCCTCCTCCTCTGGTCAGCGCTCTATCCCTCTCTCTACGGGTGCCCCTCCGTCACCAGCGACTGCCTCCCCACCACCGGTTACGGGTTTGCAGGTGCTTGGTATCCAGTCTGGTACAGGTGGTGAGGAGGTAGGGGGGGATGCTGGTGTGGTTGAGGGCATGCTATGTTTGGCCAGGGAGGTGGAAGGTGTTGCACTGGCAGGTGTGAGCACAGGTGATGTCCCACGCACACTCGCTGAGGCCCTGCGTGGCCCTGAGGGCCCTGCGTGGAAGGCAGGCGCTGAGAAGGAGGTAAATGCAATGCGCACTATGGGTGTATGGGATCCAGAGCCGGTTGACTTACCTCCAGGTAAGAAGGCCATTGGGGTCCGGTACGTTTTCCGCAGGAAAACTGACAAGGAGGATAAGGTGGTACAGCACAAGGTTCGCCTTGTTGCTAAGGGGTACACTCAGGAGCCTGAGAAGGACTATGATCAGGTATTTGCCCCTGTGGGCAAGCTGACCTCAGGTCGGGTGCTTCTTGCAGAAGCCGCGGTAAAAGGGTGGCATGTACAACAGGAGGATGTTGATCATGCTTACCTCAATGCACTCCTTCAAGAGGAAGTGTATGTGAGGCAACCTGAGGGATTTGATGATGGTACAGGTAGGGTGCATCGCTTGCGCAAAGCTCTCTATGGGCTCAAGCAAGCGCCTCGTGCTTGGAATGAGGAGATTGGTACCACCTTGATTGCAGCAGGGTTTGACCGCAGTGCATGTGATGAGGCTCTGTACATCAGGTTTGTGGATGAAGAGCCAGTGTATGTATTGGTGTATGTGGATGACCTCTTGCTTGTGTCTCCACGCTTGGAGCTGATCGGTCAGGTCAAGGAGGTGCTTGCTCAGAGGTACCAGATGAAGGATCTAGGTGAGGTATCCATGTACCTTGGTGTGGAGGTTCGCAGGTCGGTCAAGGATGGGTGGTTGGAGATTGGTCAGGAGAAGTATGTCCGTGGTCTCCAGGGAAGGTTTGGTGATCTGCTGAAGGAGACCCATAAGGTGCATACTCCAATGTCACCCAATGATCTCTCTAAGATCAGGAATGGTACTTGGTCAACTGAGGAAGGTGTTGCAGCTGATGTCAAGGTGTACCAGAGTCTCATTGGCAGCTTGATGTATGCTGCTGTGACCACCCGTCCTGACATGTCTTTCACTGTCAACACCCTTGCACAGTCCTGCGTGGCACCAGGACGCATTCACATGCGCGCTGCACTGAGAGCACTCAGGTACTTGGTCGACACAGCTGATCGTGTCATCAGGTATGAGCGCCAAGGTGGTGAGCAGGTTGTCGGGTACACAGACTCGGATTGGGGTGGTGAGACTGATGGCAAGAGTCGCTCTGCCTACATCTTTAAGCTGGGAGGAGGAGCAATCAGCTGGTATAGCAAAAAGCAAGACAGTGTTGCAGCAAGCGTTTCTGAAGCTGAGTACAAAGCTCTATCGGAGGGGGCCAAGGAGGCCATTTGGTTGAGGAGTCTGTTGGCAGAGATGCATGTGGGGGATGGGGGGGCTATTCCATTGCTCTGTGATAATGAGGCAGCTGTCTCCCTTGCCCACAATCCCGTTCTCCATCAGCGCACCAAGCACATTAAGGTGGCATGGCACTTTGTACGGGATGCGGTGCGCCAGCAGGAGGTCGAGGTGCACTCAGTACGCTCCCACCTCCAGGATGCCGACATGCTCACCAAAGCTCTTCCAAGCTTGCAGCTGCATGAGAACCTGGAGCGCATCGGCATGCGAGTGATTGCTGCGAAGGCCAAGGCTTCATTCGCTGGAGGGGTTGTATTTTGATTTATGGGTGAACTTTAATGCTTATTGGAGCAAGGGGGGGTGTTGGAATTAAGGTTAATTCGGGTTGCTCCAATAAACATATGTAGTGGTACATCTACACTATGGTAGTGAAGAATACATTGGTTGGGTTGGGAGAACTTGTGGTGTACACTCTTTAGAGTGGACCACCTCCCAAACCCTATAGGTTAGGGTTCTCTCTTGTTGGCATTTCACTTTTAGAAACCACTTTGGTTCTAGCATGGTTCATGCCCAAGTGGGCTCCTAGGATTCCTAGGCTTTAGGAGGAGGTTCTAAGACTACTAAAGCTTCCGCTAGTATCTTGGTCCATTCTAATACATAGCACAGCGCGACCTTAGCAAAAGCTTCCTACCACCCTATGAGTTGACTAGAAAACCCATCACTTTCCCACCCTTTTTCTTTCACGGCACGTAGTGCAGCTTGCCTTCAGCAGTGTCCCCCTCCTCTGACTCCACCACCGCCACCCTAAACGTTGACTCAAAAGCTAACCCTGTCACTTCCCCCCACCCATCCCTGCAACCTAGGGCGAGTTCGTTCACTGTGCATAGCGCAGCGTGCCTTCACTGGTGTGTCCCCCTCCTATGACTCCACCAACACCACCACCACCGTGTCGACTCAGAAGCCAACTCCGGCATTTCCTCCCCCTCCCCCCACTTTTGCGAGTTCACACTTGTTCACTGTGCGTAGCGCAGCGTGCCTTCACCGGTGTCCCCCTCCTCTGCCTCCACCAGCACCTCATGCATGAGTTGACTCAAAAGCTAACCCCTTCCCCCCCACTTTTGCAAGTTCCCCGGTGTTCACTGTGCGTAGCGCAGCATGGCTTCAGCAGTGTCCCCCTCCTCTGACTCCACCAGCACTGTAAACGTTGAGTTCACGACCAGGTTCCCGATTGGACCAGTCCACTTGTCAAGTGGGTGTGGCAGGGCCACTGCACGCATGCTCATGGCAGCTTTCAAGGCAGAGTCTGAAGCAGGGTTAGGAGTGGAGGTGGTAGCAGCATTAGGAGCAGCGTAAATAGCAGAGGGAGCAGCAGAGGGAGCAGAGTCAGCGGCATTGTCAGCGTTTGGAGCAGGTGTGGAGGTGGGACTGGCATTAGCCGGGAAGTCATTGAGCCACTCGCACAGCTGCACGCCGGGCCTGGGCTGGGTCCACGTGCAGTCGAGGGGGATGCTGGTGGTTTCAGAGGAAGTCATATTGAAAACGGAGAGTGTCGCTGCTGGCTTGAGGTCGCCTCGGTAGAGCAGCAGGATGCTCACATATAGCTTGCAATTGCCGTTTCTGGAGGGGAGGGAGGGAGGGGGGAGGGAGAAGGAGGGAGGAGAGAGGAGACATTTGAGTGGACTCAGAAGTCTCTTGAGGTCGCCTCAGTAGAGCAGCAGGATGCTCACGCATAGCTTGCAACTGCCGTTTCTGGAGGGGGTGGGGGGAGAGGGGGGATGGGGGAGGAGGGAGGAGGGAGGAGAAGGGAGAAGGAAGGAGAAGGGAAAAGGGGAAAAGGAGGGAGGAGGGACACGGAGCGCAGTGGGGTCAAAATCGATTCGTCGGGTTGAAGACGAGGCATTTGAAAGATGAGAATTGATGCCTGTCTATTCCACTGTGGTAGTTTGGATAAGAAACCGGCATGTGACAACGGCGGTTGAGGCCCTCTCATCTCATGCATTCTGATTAGATTCAAAATGTACATGGTTTAGAGATATATCGGAGATATAGGGGGAGGAGAGAGGGTGAGAGAAAGCAGTGTGTTGAGACATATTGGAAGGTGACTTTTGAGTCGACTCAAAATTCAGCGATTATGGTGAACACTAGGGACTCACGTCTTGGAGACGGCAAACATCGCGCCCCCTTTAAACGCATCGCCATTGATCATTGCCTGGAACCTTCCAGCTGGTACCCCAACCAGCAGCTCCGGCTTACCTGCAACATTGAATACAGAATGCTTAGTGACAGTCAACCATTCACTCATGTTGCTAAATCATTTTCATGAGCAAAAGATGTGAACTGGCCAACATCGAGACAAAGAACTTCTGTTCTACAGCTAACAAGGCACAAACTTCACTAAAAATGCTACCAGGGTAGGACCAAGAAACGTAAGAGACGCAAGCAACGTACCAAACAGCTGATCCCTCTTCAGAGTTGACTTGGCTCTTTTGAGGGCCGATCTTGAGCGGGTAACCAGTGGCTGCCTGTTCGAGTCCAGATACGTGAGTCTCAACGCGTGCGAGTCAACGCGAACCCCCACGCCAGCCGTGAATCCGATGCTGTTGATGTTGGCCTGGGTCAGCTTGGTCTGGCCGAAGCAGTCCCACACGCTCGGCGCGACTTGCGAGCACTGCATGTTGCTTCCGAGCGAAGCCAGCACGACGGGAGCCTTCACACCCAGGCTGACATTCACTGGTGGGGTGAGTGAGCCTGCGGTGGTCAGGCGGAACTGCGACGGCTTGCTCTGAGCCCTGGCAAGGTGGGCAGGCGGGCATGGGGGGTGAGGAGAAGGAAGCCAGGGGTTTCAAGAGCAGCGCAGGGCACATGGTGTGTTTGGTTCGGAAATTCGGGAGACCGGTGGTGGGGGGCCTTATAGCACATGGTGGTCAGGCGGAACTGCAACGCATGTGGGCCCTGGCATGGGTATGGGCTGTGGCGTGGGTGGGGGGCGGGGAAGAGGAAAAGGAGAGGGGAGGAGGATGAGGATGGGAGGTGGGGTGGGGTGGGATGGTATGGGGAAATGGAGAGTTTTGAGCAGGCATGGACCAGGATTTTGAGAGTTTTGAGAGTTCAAGACACGTGCTCAGGGTGATATGGATGAGGGTGACCTGGTTCGGGTGACCTGGTTCGAGCGACCTGGTTAGGGTGACCTGGTTCGGACGACCTGGTTCGGACGACCTGGTTCAGACGACCTGGTTCGGACGACCTGGTTCGGACGACCTGGTGGTGGGCGAATGATGGTGTGGAAAAGCCCAAGTCCAGTGGCGGGGTGAGTGAGAGAGGGTGAGCAGGCGGGAGGGAGCGTGTAAAGAGGGGAAGCTAACCAAGCTAGAATGTTGGACCTCTCAAAATCGCCATGTGGTGCGGCGGCAGCAAACGCCTTGTCCTGCCCCGTCGCCATGCCTGCCCTAAGCCACACGCACACATGCCATGCCCCCAACCACACGCAAGCCGTCACCTTACAAAAGCGCCTACTGCAGATCAGGGTGCGGAAACCCCGCATGTGAAGTGCATTTTGAGGCGCCTCAAAATGCAGATCAGGGTGCGGAAACCCCGCATGTGAAGTGCATTTTGAGGCGCCTCAAAATGCAGATCAGGGTGCGGAAACCCCGCATGTGAAGTGCGACTATGGAATGGATTTCTTACTCAGAGGGGACTGCGATGCTGAACGTGCCTCTCACGTTCTCATCTGAAAGTTCCGCGCTGTAATAAACTGCATTGGCGGGGGGCGACGGGACAGAGAGGAACGGAGGAAAGAATGAGGGAGGAGGGACGCGGGAGGGACAGCCACGCCGGGGTATCGAACGGCACGGGTCGGGTGCATGCGAAACGCTACACAGGTGGCAGATCAGGCAATTTCTGCGCAGCGATTTCACGCAAAGCGAGCAGGGAGTAGAGCAACGGAGCGGGGAGAGCGCCGGCAATCAAGGTGACTTTGAGTCACCTCGTTCCAATGTAACACGGGCGTTAGAAAAGGGATGCAGGGATGCAGAGTGACTGGCGGCAGGCGCGGGCGGCGGGAAGAGCAGCAACTGGACTGCCTTGACGAACGCGAGGCAGTTGGGGGGAGGGGATGGAGGGGGAGGGGGGGGGGGAGGGGGGAGGGAGCAGGAGCGCGGCAGGCATGGGAAGGGGGGGAAGGGGGGTGCGCTTACTGGCGGCAGGCGTGGGCGGCGGGAAGAGCAGCAACTGGACTGCCTTGACGAACGCGAGGGCGGATTTCACGGCGCGCTGCTTCGCCGCCTCGACGCTAAACGCCGCCTCTGCTCCGGGAAGTGTCGAGGAGAGTAACATACCTGCAGGCGAAGAGACGAGAGAGATTGAGGGCATGATTAGATCAACTTTGCTACCAGGGTGGTGTGTCACACAGTCGAAGTAAATAATGACAGACTGATTGAATGATAGGCATGTTCATAGAAAGGAGGCATGGGTCATGAGAGACCGCACCGGCAATGAAGAGGAGGCACGTCAGAACCCTACTAGGGAGAGCCATTGCTGGGGTTTCCGATGGGGTATCTTAGAGAACACTACTAGGGGTATCTTAGGGGTTTCCGATGTTATCTTAAAGAACACTACTAGCAGTACTAGAGAGCTATCAGTGATTTGAAAGGAAAGTCGCAGTTAGCGGAATCGAAGAACAAGAGCTGCTGGTTTCTTAGGGGTGGATTGGAGAAGAAAAATGCTGGAGTTGGGAAAAGGATGTGGTGCTTTCCCTTCGGAAGGGAACGAGCCGCGCTGACCTGCCCATGTGAAAGTAAGCGCGGATGCCGGGCCATCGTCGCAAGGCTCGCCTGCTGACTTTTCTCATCAGCCATTCGCCCAAGGACCAGTAATAATGACTATGTTCGCGTTCCGCTCCAATCGAAAGCGATCTAACCAGCGACGAAATGAAGCAGGACGCGTTCCATTTTAGTCGATGGATAAATAGCCCTCGTGCTGAAGCAAAGTAACCCTCCCCAATAAAGCTTGACGAACTCACCACCAATAAAGCACCAATGTAGCTTTATTGGTGGTGAGTTCGTTTTGCCTCGAAACCGTACTGTAACGTATAAAGGTGTAAGCAAACCATTCTGGCATGCACAGCTTCGCGCTCCATTGGTAGGGTGAACTCATGACAGAAAGCTGGACAGCAATAATTCCGTTTCTCATCTTACAGGGCCGTCACGTCAGGCTCCGTCAACTCGGGCAGGCTCACAAAGCTACTGGGCTGACCGGAAGAAGGGTGGTTGGGATTTGCTCGAAATGGCTGGTGAGTTTTTTACTGCATTTATTGCTGCCCAACAGCGGCGGGCAAATCTGATGATGGTGGAGAGGCATGTGCAACATCGCCCATCCCTGTCTTGACAATATGGAAACCAGAGTGGTGGTGAAACCAAAATTCTATTCGACAATACCTGACACAGATTTTCAAGCCACGCGCTTCGGATACCCATAATGCAATGCTCGGAAATAAAACCTCTTGGTCCAATTCCACCGCTCCCAGCCAGCTTTCCGCCCAGCTGTATTCATCGGTAAACCTCTGCACCGAACATAAACCCTCCGTAAGCCCTTCGCACATTCCTCAACCAGAGTAATCCGCTCTCATGTCAGCCCACCCCCCCAAGTGAACAACCTCATCAGCCACTACAAATCCAACCTTTTTGTTCACAAACGCCTCATCCTCTCCACCAGTCACTTCACGAGCCCTTATAGCTCCTCGTTCCTTGCCAGTATTCTCAAACCAGACCGAGTATTCTCTACTGCTCCTACCACATTCACCGTCCGTTGGCGGTATTTGAGCTGAAAAGGCATCGCCATGCCTCGCCTCAAACTTCCCCACTGGCTCGTATCCTGCCTCGTGTGCCTTCCAGGTAAAAATTCCTTTTGAGACGCGGCGGCATCCTGAACATGCATCCGAATTGTGGAATCGCCTTGTGGAAGGCGCTTCATTTCCAGCAGTTTTAACTCTCCGTATTCTGTAATCACGTAATTCACGTAATTCACTCCGTGCCATTTTTCTGCGACTTATTCGCCGTGGATTGTGCAGGCATTATTCTCTTGTGCGCGGCGCCTGTCACCATGTCGTCAGGATTCGCGTTCACGGACAAGGATCTCGCCGTTTTCTTTCCCCGAATTCCAAGGGACTCACGTAAGACCGTACGCGATCACCGTACTTGTAAGGACGTGACGATCATGGCTAGTAGTTGTGTACGATATGTACATCTTGTGGGTTACGCCGCGTAACAATGATCAACGCGGCGTTGATCATTGTTACATCATCATGATGGTACCGCGTAAGGGGCTATAGCCTCTTAGTTTCCTCTGTTCGTTATCTTTGTTGTCATTCTCATTCCGAAATTAAGGAACGGGGAGTGGGAATTTGTATCCGCTGACTGTTGCTGTACGTATACGGTGACCGTGAACGGACTATTCGCAAGTACCTGCCTCCACCGCACAAAAAACACCGCTCCCACTCCGCTTCCGACCCCTCACATACATCTGCCCTCACGCGAGTCGCCCTGAGTGCTCCTCCCCCTCCCGTCCTGCTGATCCATTGCAGGTCCCGCCACTGCTCAGCTGACGTCGAGCCAATCGCAGGGAATCATATGCATGCAAATATCAGTACGACGGTAAGGCATTTCCTTTAACGTGGCGCCACGTGGCAATCTCCTCTGGTCATTCTCCGTGCACGAGCTTGTTTCACTCCCCCATTCCGCACCCGGCTGATAAAGAGGCAACGCCGAATTTATCCGTCACGGTGTTCCTCCCCCTCCTCCTCCGTTCCCCACGCTCCGATTACCGCAGCCCTGAATTCCCGACCGTTTTCCGGGTGATTATAGCGGGAAGCGTGGATCCTCCAACGCGGGTGTCGCTGTGGGACAACAGAACTCTCGCCACGGGCGGTGATCAGTGGAAGCTGGTGGCGCCGGGAGTGTGGGACTTGGCACACGCTTCCTACTGGCCTGCTGGCAATCCCTCCTCCTGGCCCGGCCCCGACACGAAAACGGTCACGGCTACACACGCCGGGGTGAATGGCGGGACGCTGGAGGCGTCTGGAGCGCTGGTTTTACAGATGGAAACGGGTGCTTATGACACAGGTACGCATGCCAGCTGCTATTCTGCTGCCATGTGCTTGCTGCCATAGTATGCTTTCTACTTGCATGACTAAAAGTTAATGCCCTCTTCCGCGGACTCAGTGTTGTTCCTCCCAATGCATTCGTCCCCATCTATTCCCTCTCATCGCATCCCACCCGTTGCACCCCTACCAGTCACGGAGCAAGGACTGCTGCCATCCATGGCAAGCGGCCGATTCCAAGCCATGTTCTCCGGCGACGTGGCAGGGGGGGCCAAAATCCGCATCGCCGCCAGCAAGTGAGTCAACCGTTTCAAAATCAATGTTAGGAATCGCTATAGTGTGGTAGCAGCGAGAACAAAACCACTATCTGCAGAGTTTTTTGCTGCCCCCCCTCGCTCTCCCCGCCCTCTCTACTTGAATCGGATGCAGCGACAGCAAGGTCACTCTGGAGGTGCACCTGGTGTTCACGAGGGGCGTTACCGCCAACACAGGCGTCTCCATCGTGGGTCAGGTCGGCGCCGACACGTCTGACCCGCTCCCGCTCGCATGCCCCTTCAACACGCCACTTTTGGACGCGATAGGAATCGTTATTCCAGGCGTGTTCACTTGCGTCAAGACCATCGACGTGAATATTCCCGCAGAAACCGCCAGCAAGCCCAAGGTGCTGGGACTGCAAAGGTTTATGGCTGCGCTGGTGGGAGCTACCCTGCCGGGTGATTACCTGGCCTCAACCTTCACCCTGACAGTGAATGGGCAGAGCGAGAATCTGTACTATAGTCTGTAATCTATGTCATACAGTATTACATGTTTATTCTGATGTGTTTGCTTGCTTGCAAAGTACCATTGTAAGGAAAATTCATTTTCCTTACTTCGCGTCCTCGCTCAGCGCGTACACCAATGTAGCACCACAGTCAGCACCGTTACCACTCGCAACCCTCGCATCGACAATCCTCCCGCCACCTTCGCACGTCGCACCCTGACCTCACGGCTCGGTAGGTAACCCGCGCTCCGGGCCTCCGCTTCAACATTTCCCCAAACCTCAGTCCCAGGCCCGTCGCGTGACAACCACAGTCCATTACCGTTACCACTGTAGTTTCGCTCTATATTATTCGCTCATGCCTTCGCTCATTGTACTCTTGCTTCGATAGTGCAATTCTCGCTCGCTCACTCAATTGCACTCGTAACACTTGGTATCAGAGCCTACGATCTCTTCTCGGACCGCACCCACACCTTCGTTTTCCCCACTATCTCAATTTTGGGGGGGGAGGGGGGGGGGTAGACGTCTCTGAGCGACGCAGCACCATCGCTCGTAGTGCTCTCTCGTAAACACGCACGGCCACGACAGAGGCTCTCGCTAAGCTTGCCCGACACCCCTGCCATGGCCGAATTCACTCTCGCGACACTGACGCAGGAGCAACTCGACCGTCTCGTGCGCCAAGTTGAAGAGTTGGCGCTTGAAATTGCGACGCTCACAGCGGAACGTGACTCCGCGCGTCACCAATCCATGGTGAATACTCCAGCGCCACCACACGCACCTGCAAATGCATCTGCACAATCGGAGGAGCCGATCATCATTTCATCAGACACACCGACACAGAATGTCAGCGTGGGGCAACGCTTATGCGCAGCCAGTGATGACGCCGCCCAGCCGATGCCGGGCATGGAGAGGAACAGAATCGCGCCAAGCATACGGGAGCCTCGTGAAGTCCATCGGCACGTGGAATTTGCGGCGACAAATGGCGACCACGCCATCATGACCGCAATACCACTAAAGCCACAGCGCCCGCCCTATTTGGACCCGAGTCAGCGTGGAGGTCCGACGGTTTAGTCGTGGTTCTTCACGATGAACGTGTTTTTCGGCGCAAACTATGTCGAGTCGGACGCAACGAAGATCAGATACGCCGTCTCGCTGCTGAGGGGGCCCGCCATGGACTGGTGGCGAGGCATCGTGACATCGCCACGCGCCTACGAGCCACCGTCGCAAGAGGAAGGGCCCACGGGTCCAGCCGTCACCGAGAGTTCATTCTGCGAAACCGCCCAGTACAGCACTTGGGATGTGTGGTGCGCAGGGCTTCGGGCACGCTTCGAGCCGATCGCAGCTTCTATTTCGGCGCGTCTGAGATTGCACACTTGGCGGCACCTCGGGTCGGTTCTAGACTTCACGAGCGGTTTTCTCGCATTATGCGAGCAAGTCGGCTGCATGCACAAAGCAGAGCGGGTGGACCGTTACGTCAAAAGGCTGAAGCTGGACATCTCGCACGAAATCATGTTACGCGGACTCTCGAATTTCAACAAGATTCTCACGCTTGCCGAGAAAATCGACATTTTGCGTCGTCCGAGACCGGGGTCCTACTACGGACATCGCCCTCGGGGACCGATCGAGCACGCCACCGTACATGCCGTTGCGACAAATGCAGCTGCCGTGCCGTTTAAGGGGCGCTGCTTTGCTTCCATTAGGCCGGGCCATCGCAAGAGTGAGTGCCCAGAGGAGCTGAGGCGCCGCGGAGCAGAGTAGGGGAGGGAGTCTCTAAGGCATTGAAACGCCAGCATTCAATACGAATCGGGCCAACTAATGACGAGACTGCCTGCTCGCCCAACCCCACCGACCCTCACCGAATCACACTACCGATTTATGCTATCGATCGGGCTCGGACGAGTAAGGAGGGTACAGCGACGGATTGGCCAGTATTGATCCACGGGAAAATACAGGGAGCAGCAGTGAAATTTTTTATCGACGGAGGAGCAAGTCACAGTTTAGTTAATACCGCAACTGCACGGAAACTGCAACTGACACTTAGCCGCTGTTTACCCGAGATAGCCGCGCGCTTAGTTGATGGCATGCCACTGGCCATACGGGAAAAGGTGGAGAGAGTCAAAGTCTACTGCGGGGGGAATTTTGTGTTTACACAGGAAATGCTCGCGATGACATTGGATGGGCATGACATTTTAGTGGGATGGGATTGGCTGCGATGGTATAACCCGCGAATTGACTGGACAACCGGTAGCTGCACGGTGCGAAGTAGCGGTAATTGATTCGAACTACCTCGCTGGCAATTGCTTGAGTCTTCAACGGTACACGTCAACGCCGTCACCATGAAACGGGCTGTCGCTGCCGGAGCTGACGTGTACGCAGTAGACATTGCAATGGTAGAAGGAGCAGAGCTGCTGAGTGATTTCAAGAAACTGCTGGCAGTAGTACCGCACGAACTATAGGAACTATTGAAACGATACCCAGTGATTTTTCAAGACGACTTACCAGAAGGACTGCCACCTCAGCGAGCACATGACCACCGAATCGGACTAGAACCGGGGGCCTAGCCAACTGTACAGCGCCAGTTCAGACTGACACAACCCGAGCTTGATGAACTGAGGAAGCAATTAGATTACCTATTAGAGAAGAAATTCATCCGACCGAGTTCGTTACTATTTGCCGCACCGATACTGTTCACGCCAAAAAAAGACGGAGGGTTTCGCATATGCATCGATTACCGAACGCTCAACAGGGTAACAGTCAAGTAGCGGTACCCCATTCCCCGCGCTGACAAACTGATAGACCAACTACGAACAGCACGGGTTTTTCAAAAATAGATTTATGGGGAGGTTACCATCAGATTAGAGTTGAACCATCAGACTGCGCCAAAACAGCTTTTCGAACTAGGTACGAGTCGTTCGAGTACACTGTGATGCCTTTTGGGCTAACGAATGCACCAGCGAAATTCCAGATGACCATGAACGAGGCGTTTAGGCCACTTTTTGATAAATGCGTGATAGTTTACCTCGACGACATCCTCGTCTACACTCTCGAGAAGCAACAACATTTAGCAGATCTGGAAGCAGTATTTAACATTTTAGACGAGCATCGACTACTTACAAAGGGTTCCAAGTGACGAGAAGTGAGAATGGAATGACTGAACTATGAAACAGTTGGGTACAAGTACTAACCCTAATTGGGTTGTACCCCTTATGGGCTACCCCACTACAACCTACACAAATGTATAAGCTATAATGTTGTGACACAGCCCCATAAACAAAGTGGGGGAGAACAAGTAGTCACAAGACCAGTCAAGCCAAGCAAAGCAAAGCAAGCTAAGGGTGGATCACAAAGTCACCACACAGTCCTGTGGAGAACCACTTGCGCAGCTCCTGTGGAGAGAGCGGCTCCCGCCTCGACGAAGCACCGCCGGCGGCCACACGAGCAGACCCAGCACCCCCAGGCTCTGCACCCCCAGGCTCAGCACCCCCAGGCTCAGCACCCCAAGGCTCAGCACCCCCAGACTCAGCACCCTCAGGCTCAGCACCCCCAGTCTCAGCACCCCCAGACTCAGCCACCCCAGACCCGGCACCCGCAGACCCGGCACCCGCACGCTCAGCACCTCTAGCAGCACCAAAGTCAACAGCTACCTCGACAGGCTCGACTACGTCTACCTAGGACACACTAGAAGGGGCAGGACCCTGAGGAGGGAGGGGGTCTACCTGGGTAGCACCTGGCGCAAGGTAGAGCGGCGGCGGGGGGAGGGGCGCAGTGCGGTAGGGGAAGAGACGGTAGTAAGGCACCAACTCGTCAAAGGTGACGTCCTGGGAGGAAAGAACACGGGGCGTGGTGGGGTGGTAAAACTGCCAGCCAGGCGCGTCGGGGTGGAAGCCAAGGAAGACGCAAGGAACAGCACGGGGGGACAGCTTGTCTGCAGATAAGTCGCGGACAAACGCCCGAGATCCCCAGACCCGAAACGCAGACGCATCGCCAACCTTTCCAGTCCACTGCAAGGCGGGGGAGATCTCTGGCAAGGAGACCTGGAGTTGAAGGTTGAGCTGATGCGCGGCGTACTGAACCGCAAACGGCCACAGAAAATGGGGGGCAGCCACATGCATCATGGACGTACGCACGACGTCCATGACCATGCCAATGCGGCGCTCAGTAATCCCATTTTGCTGTGGAGAGGCCGTAAGCGTGAAGGTCTGGCGGATGCCCTGTGCACGGCAGAAGGCTCCCAGACGGGCAGAGGAAAACTCCCCGCCTCTGTCCGAGTGCAGACGCAGAACAGGAAAGTCTGAGCCAAAACTCTCTCTTTGAGCTGGAGACGAGCTGCGTGGATCCAGTCGATCAACACCTTAGTGACGTCACCCTTGCTGCGCAAGGGGAAGACTGTGTTGTAACGCGAGTAGTCCTCAACGACCAGCAGAAGTACTGCTCTCTCCCCTACCCACTAACGCAGGCTGGGCCCCACACGTCCATGTGTAGAGTCTGCAGCGGAGCCTCTGTCGGAGGAAACTTGGAGGAGTGAGGGGCGTCGCGCTGTCGCCCCTCAACGCAGGGGACGCAGGTACGGCTAGGCCCGAGAGGAAGAGGAGGGAGAGACCGAGGAAGACCAGAGAGAAGGACACGGGAGGCCATGCCTCGGAGACGAGGCAAGGAGGGGTGACCAAGGCGGTGGTGCTAAAGGAGAGTTTGGTGGGACAGCAGACGACACGAGCAGGGGGCAGACTCAGGACCAGACCTGGACGCCGCAGCAAACACCTGACTCGACGCAGCTACCTGGGCAGACTCAGCAGTAGGAGGAGACTCAGCAGTAAGGGTGTACAGGCTCGACCATGGCCTACGGGTGAACGTAGCCAAGTGTCGGCCTGTCCGAGCACACGTGCAGTGAGTCACTCGCTGACTCGCACGAGTGAACTGGTCAACCCCTCGATCCTGTAGGTCTGCTCCACTCTCCAAGCTCGTAGAGAACGAGGGGAGGTAGAGACCACACAGGGTGCCAGAGGGGGCTGCAGGGCACGGAAGGAAAGTGGAGAAGCTAGCAAGGACAAGACCCCCAGAGGGGTCTGCCAGGGAGACTGCAACAGGCCGACTAAGCGGCGTAAGAGTGGTGCGGTCTCGAAAGAAGGAGCGGGACGCACCCGAGTCCAAGGTGAAGGTGTGGAAGGCCTGAGCCGACGTAGTACCTGAGAGAGCATACACACCAGCACCTGGGGCGGCAGACGCACTGGCACCTGGGGCAGCAGACGCACTAGCACCTAGAGTAGCAGCCTCACCAGCACCTAGCGCAGCAGCCTCTATGCCCGGGTCAGGCGGTACACACAGGTAACAGGCACTCTCAACACTACCAGCAACAACATATAGGGCAGCAAGAATAGCATCAAAGACAAGATCAAAGATAGCAACCTCGGCCTTAGCCAGATCTCCCTAGCGAGGGATCTCTGACGCCTTTGGGAACTGGCAATGCCACGCGTCCGTGAGGCGACCAAAGCACCGCTGGGTGGAGTGCGGACCTCCGCACTACTCACCAGTGCGGTCGCCGGTACAGATAACGTAAGAGCAGGGACCAAAACCCCCTCCGCGCTGGCGTGTAGTGTACCACTCACGAAGCTGCTAGGGGACAGGGTCACACCACCCCGCTGCTGCTGCTGGCGCTGACCACCACCAGCGCCACTCCTCGGCGCAAAGTCGCGACTCGCTCCACCACCGGCGCCTCCGCCGTTGCCGCCTCTGCTGCCTCCGCCGCCTCCTCCACCTCCGCCTCCTCTACTACCTCCGCCGCCTCCGCTCCCTCCGCCACCTCCACCGCCTCCGCCGCCTCCACTGCTGCCGCCGCCGCTGCCACCCCCGCCACCACTCCCACCACCACCCGCACTCCCTCCACCGCCTCCACCACCACCTCCACCGCCCCCTCCACCCCCTCCAGTGCCCTTGCCCCCCTTGCCCTTGCTGGTGCGGCGTCTCCCGCTCGGGGCAGACGCAGCGCCGACCGACTCGAAACCAACGAGGTCGGCCGCAGCAGCAGAGGCAACAGAGGGCAAGAGGGGGAGGGAGAACACCCCTCAAAGACGGGGGTTCGAGGGTCACCACGAGAGGCTCCTACAGCAACTATGCTCTTCTCTATCGCTAGGACGGCCTTCTCGAGGAGGTCAACGGTGAGAGTGGTGGGGCAAACAGAGAGGAAGTGGTCCCTGACTACCCGAAGAGAGTGAGGGAGCAGGGTGACTATGTAGTAGAGGGTGATGTACATGGGGGGGGGGGGTTCTTGGCGCAGAATTCAGCAGGAAGCGCAGCGCGGTAGCGAGTGTCACTAGTGCGGAGGTGCGTAATGAGGTCAGCGACAGTGAGAAAGGCAGCAAGGTCAGGGAAGAGGTACGGTAGCATGAGGCGGCTCAGTGCAGCAGTAGCAGGGGAAGAGTAGCGTGCAACTACAGCGTCGTACAAGGTCTGAGCACTCTTGGACTAGCTAAAGTGTGCACGCTCAGTGGTCGGCAAGTTTCGGCGCACAGCAAGGCGAGCAGCAGCGTCACGTGTGGCCCACTGTGAGCGAACAGTGGCGTCAGCATCAGCAGCAGGGGCAGGGCAGGCACCAGAAGTGAGGTCAAACAGGGAGAGGCTGTCTGCCCTATCGCACTACAGGAAAAGCTAAAGATCATCTACCCAGACCTCAAAGTCAACTGCTCGGCCCTCAGCGTCAAAGGTGAGAACGCTAGGGGAAGCCATAACAGCAGTAGGCAGGCAGTGAGGACAGTGAGGCAGGGTAGTGCAGTGGCAGAGAGTGTGCTCTTACCAGGCAGGTGGAACGATTGGGCTGCTCGGCGGCTCAGCTGTCGGGCGGCTCGGCTGCAGGACGGCTCGGCTGCTGGGCGGCTCGCCTGCTGGGCGGCTCGAGTGCTCGGTGCTGGGCGGCTTGACTGTCGGGCGGCTCGGCTGTCGGGCGGCTCGGCTGCTGGGCGGCTCTGCTGTACGGTGGTAGGCGGCTCGGCTGTCGAGCGGCTTGGCTGCTGGGCGGCTCGGTTGGTTGGGCGGCTCAGCTGGCCGGCGGTTCGGCTGCTCGGCGCTGCGGGCGCTGGGCTGCGGGGTTGCAGGTGGTGGCGAGGTCGCAGGTGGCGACGGGGCCGTAGCGGGGCCTAAGCGGGGCCGTAGCGGGGCCGAAGTGGGGCCGTAGCGGGGCCGAAGTGGGGCCGTAGCGGGGCCGTAGCGGGGCCTAAGCGGGGCCAGCGGGGCCGAAGCAGGGCCTAAGCGGGGCCGTAGCGGGGCCGACGTGGCCGTAGCGGGGCCTAAGCGGGGCCGACGGGGCCGAAGCGAGGCCTAAGCAGGGCCTAAGCGGGGCCGACGGGGCCGTAGGGGGCCGTAGCGGGGCCTAAGCGGGGCCGACGGGGCCGAAGCAGGGCCTAAGTGGGGCCGTAGCGGGGCCGGCGGGGCCGTAGCGGGGCCTAAGCGGGGCCGACGGGGCCGAAGCGAGGCCTAAGTGGGGCCGTAGCGGGGCCGACAGGGCCGTAGCGGGGCCGTAGCGGGGCCTAAGCGAGGCCGATGGGGCCGTAGCGGGGCCGTAGCGAGGCCTAAGCGGGGCCGTAGCGGGGCCGCGACAGGGCCGTAAGCGGCCTAAGCGAGGCCGTAGAGGGAGGCTCGTGTCAAACATTATATATGTTGTTGTGCTTGTTTAGGCTACAGTGGGTTAGCCTATAGGGGGTACACAATTCTAGGCCCCGTCGACCTCGCGCTCACCTCCCTAGAGGCCCCGAACAACCCCGTCGGCCCCGCGCTCACCTCCCTAGAGACCCTGAACGGCCCCGTCGGCCCCACGCTCACCTCCCTAGAGGTCCCTTACGACCCCGTCGGCCCCGCGCACACCTCCCTGGAGTCCCGGAACGGCCCCGTCGGCCCCTAGAGGCCCCTTTACGGCCCCGCGCTCACCTCCTTAGCGGCCCAGAATGGCCCCGTCGGCACCGTTAACGCCCCTCGCTCACCTCCCTAAAGGCCCCGAACGGCCTCGTCGGCCCCGCGCCCATCGTCCCTAGAGGCCCCGAGCGGCCCCACGCCCACCGCCCCTAGAGGCCCCGAGCGGCCCGTGACCGCCACACTCCGGGACCGAACCGAGCCGCACGACCCGAGCCGTGCCGCGCGAACCTAGCCGAGCCGCGCGACCCGACCTGAACCGAGCCGCTCCACCCGAGCCGCGCCGCCCTACCTGAACCGGGCCGCCCTGACTGCTTCCTCCTCCTCCTACTGCTACTACTTCTACTGCTCCTATGGCTAGCCCACAGGTTCTAGTTTTCGATGCTGTAGGCCGCCCAGTGAAGTTTGACACCTAGCTAGATGACCTGCACCTCTATCTACAGCTCACAGCCAAGGACGACATCTCACTGTACGACCACGCCCTAGGCCATGTCACTGCCCCTGCAGCTACTGCTGACAGCACTGCTCGCTCACAGTGGCAGACTCGTGATGCCCACGCTCGCTTCGCTATTCGCAACTCCCTGCCGATAGACGAACGCGAGCACTTTGGCCAGCACAAGACTGCACAGGCACTGTACACAGCCGTCGTTGCTCGCTACTCCTCACCTGCCTCTGCCGCGCTAGGCCGTCTCTCCCTCCCCTACCTGTTTCCCCACCTTGCCTTGTTCCACACAGTCGCTGACCTCATCACGCACCTCCGTACTAGTGAGGCCCGCTTCCGTGCCGCCATGCCCGCTGAGTTCCTTGCCACGCACCCCCCCCCCCGCTCGGGCTCACTCTCTACCACCTAGTCACCCGCCTCCCTGAAACACTGCGTGCTGTCAGGGACCACTTCCTAGCTCGTTGCCCCACTGAGCTCACCATTGCCCTCCTCGAGAAGGAACTGCTTGCAGCTGAGACTAGCATAGTCGCTGTAGGTGCCTCTCGTGGCGACCCTCGTACCCCTTTCTTCGAGGGGTGTTCTCCTTCCCCCCTTCTTCCCTCTGTTGCCTCTGCTGCTGCTGTCGACCTCCTTGGTGCTGAGAAGGTCGATACTGCGTCTGCTTCGAGCGAGCGCCGCAGCAGCAAGGGCAAGGGTGGTGGCGGTGACGGCGGGGGAGGCGGTGGTGGGGGCGGTGGAGGCGGTGGGGGTGGTGGCGCGACTGGAGGGGCTAGTGGCAGCAAAGGGGGTGGTGGCGGCAGCGGCGGGGGAGGTGGCAGGGGCGGAAGCGGAGGCGGTGGTGGGGGTGGCGGTGGACGAGGCGGCGGCAGGGGCTGGGGTGGTCAAGGAGGTGGCGGCGGCGGTGGTGGTCGTAGAGGCGCTGGCGAGGGCCAGGGCCAGCAGCACACTCCGTCGCCCCAGGAGGTCCGTGAGTGGTACTCTCTGCACGGGGGGGGGTGGCTTTAGCTGCACGTACGTCATTCGCACTGGTGACCGCACTGGTCAGCAATGTGGACAACCGCACGCCACACAGCGCTGCTTTGCTCGTCTCGACGACGCTTGGCGTGTTCAGTTCCCTCAGGCCACTGAGCTACCCCAGTGGATTGATCTCCTGAAGAAGGGGATTGATATCTATGCTCTAGACTTTGATGCTATTCTATCTGCTATGTATGTGATGTCTACTAGTGGAGAGGGTGCTGAGTACCTGTGTGTGCTGCCCAGCCCGGGCATTAGGACTAGTGCGTCTGCCACTCCAGGTACTCGCGTGTCTGCTACCCCAGGTGCTGGTGAGGCAGCTGCTCTAGGTGCTTGTGCATCTGCCCCCCTTGGTACTGAGTTGACTGTAGCACTGCACACCTTCACACTAGACTCAGGTGCTTCTCGCTGCTTCTTTCGTGACCGCACTACCCTTGAGCTGCTTGCTCGGCCGGTTGCTGTCTCCCTTGCTGACCCTTCTGGGGGTCCGGTCATTGCGACCTCTTCCACTGTCCTTCCCTGTCCTGCGGTCCCGTCGGGCACACTGTCAGGTCTCCACCTCCCCTCGTTCTCTACGAACTTGGTGGCAGGATGTGCGCTCCAGGACGGGGGTGTTCACCAGTTCACCCCTGCCTACAAGCGCGTGACGCACTGTACGTGTGCTCATATGGGCCGTCACTTGGCTACCTTCACTCGGCAGCCGGGGTCGGACCTGTACACACTGACCATTGAGTCCCCTCAGGTTTTTTGCGTCTGCGTCTGCGTCCGCGACAGGTCAGCTGTCGACCCCCTGCTCGTATCGCTCTCTTGCGCACAAGACTGTCCTCTGGCACCACCGCCTTGGCCACTTGTCTGTGCAGCGGCTTCGTGCCATGCACTCCCGGTACCTTGTCTCTGGCCTTCCTAAGGTCCTTCCTCCCCTCCCTCCCTCACCTGCTCCTACCTGTCTCCCCTGTGTCGAGGGACGGCAGCGCGCTGCTCCTCACTCCTCCTCGTTTCCCCCGACGACTGCTCCCTTGCAGACGCTCCACATGGACGTGTGGGGCCCAGCCCGCGTCCGTGGTCAGGGTCAGGAGAGGTACTTCCTGATAGTTGTTGACGACTACTCGCGCAACACCTCGGTCTTCCCCTTAAGCACCAAGGGTGAGGTCCCAGATGTCTTGATCCCTTGGATCCGCAGAGCCCGTCTCCAGCGCAGCAAGCGTTTCCACTCGGACTTTCTTGTCCTGCACTTGCACTCTGACAGATGTGGTGAGTTCTCCTCCGACCTCTTGGCAGCCTACTGTGCTGAGCACGACATTGAGCAGTCGTTCACGCTTCCGGCCTCTCCACAGTAGAATGGGGTTGCAGAGCGCCGCATTGGCCTGGTCATGGAGGTCGCCCGTACCTCCTTGATCCATGCGGCTGCTCCCCACTTTCAGTGGCCGTTTGCGGTCCGGTACGCTGCGCATCAGCTCAACCTCTGGCCCCGTGTCTCCTTACTGGAGACATCGCCCACACTGTTGTGGACGGAGGAGGTTGGCGATGCGTCGCGCTTCTGGGTCTGGGGATCTCGAGCTTTTGTCCGCGATACGTCTGCGGACAAGCTCTCCTCCTGTGCTGTTCCCTGCGTCTTCCTCGGCTTTGTCCCGGACGCGTCTGGTTGGCAGTTTTACCACGCCACCTCGCGCTGAGTCTTGCCCTCTTTGGACGTCACTTTTGACGAGTCCGTCCCCTACTACCGCCTCTTCCCCTACCGCACTGCCCCGCTCCCCCCCCCGCCTCTCTTCTTCGCGCCAGGTGCTGCTGTTGTAGACCCCCTCCCCCCTCAGGGTGCCTCTCCCTCAGGTGTGTCTCAGGTAGACCCAGTTGAGCCTGTTGAGGTAGCTGTCAACTCTCGTCCTGCTGGGGGTGCT